TCGGAAAATCTGCTGCTGCGTCAACTGCTCCAATTTGTGAGTGTACTCTTGAGCCAGAATCTATGGAACAAGCATGGATTGTTGCAAGCAATGCAAGGTGTTGGTACCTCTGTGGACAGGTTGCAAGCAGAGTACGCTGAGGGTCAGGCCCAGAATCATATTCTCGTAGGTGCGTAGTCCTGAGATACAGGATGGAGCAAAGACCCTTTGCGCACTATCATGTCTGGAAGGTTGCTCTTGCGCGTATACTCCTCAATGCTCAGCTACCACAGCCTTACAACATGTTTCCTAGCTCCGTGTTAAGCTGTGCAGTGACTTCCTGCACCGCAAGTCAAGCTCTACACGCCATGCTCAACAGATGCAAAACGCACAGTTTCTGCGATACTCCATCTTCCACCGCGTGTATTCAGTGTTGCGACCACCACAGCGTTGGATTCCTAGCCGTACATATTCAGCTACGTCATGCCTTTTCACACGTCACAGAGTACATGTTCTGCAGATTTCGTGGCAGGCGCAGCACTTTGGACATGGTTGGTGGTCTTCGAGGCGCTCTGATTTCGTGACGGGTGCAGTGAACCGTAGCTTTGTTTCGTGGCAGGCGAAGCACTCTGTGAACCTCAAAGTGTACATTTCGTGGCAAGTGCAACACTTTGTATTGGTCCAGATTTCGCAGCAGGTGCAATTATGTTGTGTTTACCATTGTTTACCAGAGGTTTGGAAATAAACAAAACTCTAACTATTTTAAATAGTTTAGTTATTTTGGGTTTACCGGAGGTTTGGAAATAATTAAGAATTGAATTATTTTTCTTTATTTTAGGTTTCCCGGAGGTTTTGAAATATTTAAATTTCTAATTATGTTAATTCTTTTAATTACTAATCTTAATTCTTTTAACTACTAATTTCTAATGGTTTTAAGTAATTTAACTATTTTGAATAGTTTTACTTATGTTGGGTTTCCCGGAGGTTCGGGAACAATTAAATTTTTAGCTATTTTAAGTATTTGAGTTATTTTGAGCTATTCTATTTATTTTTAATCTATTGTAATCATTTTAAATATTTTTCCCGGAGGTTCGGAAACAATTAAGATTTTAACTATTTTACTTTAATTATGTTTAATTTTTATTGTTATGTGTATTTATTTTCCCGGAGGTTTGGAAATAATTAAAATTCTAATTATTTTAATTAT